CTAGACCTGCTCTATTTGAAAAGTGTCCTGAGATAACTTCTGTTATGAATTGGCGCTATACAAATAAAACTGAATTGAATTAATGTGTGTCTGTTTTCCCAGATACAACCCAGAGCTTTTTGTGCCGTGGGTCAAAACTAATTTCTGATAAAGAGCAGCTGGATGTTTGAGGCTATTTTACATGCCTGCAATCTAAACAAAGAATTTGTGGGATTGGATTGTTTTGGAGCTTTCCAGCCCACCTTGTCATTTATTAATTAGAAAAAGTTATAATAGCAGCTGCCCTCAATCACAAGTCTTAACTCCTGCCAGTGGATCAGCATTTACACAACTCCAATGAGCTCCAGTCGCCCAGTTCTCACCTGTGTCCATCTGCCAGACGTAGACGGAGCCATCAGAGCATCCCACCACCAGGTAGTCGTCAGCTGGACGCCATTTGATGACCTGAATGGGGAAAAGGTGTCGCGACGCCAGCATGATGCACTTCCTCTCCCTGAGACTGAGCAGGCCGACGGAGTGGTCGCTGGCCACCGAGCAGACGCAGTGCTGAACCCGAGTCTGCAGAGGAAACACAGCGGGAAACAATGATGACTCAAAGAACTGTACCTGAGGACACCATGGAGGGTCACTGACCAGACTGAGTTCAATCTTCTTGAATCGGAATCCTAATAATATATTTGTTAGGTTTCGCTGTCAAGAAAACAATCCAAGTGTCTTGGACAGTTTCTGACTTTGGTGGCTTCTAGTTTTATCATCCTGTTAATTAATAAACTACCAAAACCACTATTCAGCACTACCATATTTCCTCAAACAAAAGCCAGTAGTTACATAAAAGCAGGCCTATTTCTCTGGCGACCTTGGTGGCATGTCATGCCCTCTTCTGTCACCCCAGTTTCCTGTCTGTCTCTTCACTCTAACCTGTAAAATAATGCTAATAATAATTAGATAATAATTACAATAAAATCCTTGTTAAGAAATGTAGGGAAGTTGTAAATTTTCCCCAAATTTAATTCAAAATTAGCCAAAAAATGGACACTTCCCTAAAATAAGAATCATAGTTTTAATCACACTCCAACCTGGAACCTGGGTTTCCACTGATTTTCTGTATGCACTGATTACTGGATCTCCTCCAGGTTGTATTTTTGTGGTTTTGCACAAGGGCCGTATGTCGCTACACATAAAATCTATACCAGGGATCTGTAATGAAGATCTTTTCAGAATATTGTGCTTTTATTGTTGTACCTAAATGCTGAAGTGGTCCTCCTATGAGATGACAATACAGCAGTGGCCCTGAGGTAATCTGAGATTGAAACCCCTGATCTACACCATTGCTGTTAGTGACACATTTAGACACATTAACTCACTGCTGATGCTCAGTAGGCCGGCAGTTTGGCTGTTTAAGGTTTCACTGATTTTCCAAAAGTGAGCAGATGAAAAACATTAATTAAAGCATATGTGTGTGATGGGTCATTGTAGTCCAGCTCCAGCAACAGCATCTGACATCTGATTTCCATGGCAACAACACAGTTCTGACCAGTTCTTAATGTCAGTTAAACAATGTAATGTTTTAATTTGGTTGAATGGGCAACTGTGTGTGCGTCTGTGCATTCAACATCCGACCACAACGGCTAATGTCATTAAAGTTATTTCCATAGTAACAACAATGACATCACCCCCGGAACATTCAAATCTAATGTCAGCAACATAACACACTGCTGCCTTTCAGTACATTCATCACACCCAGACACAACAAACCACAAACAGAGAAAAGAAAATGAGACAGACAAAAAAGACAGAGAAAAAAATAAAAGGAAGAGAAGAAACAAACACAGAGCTGTATGTCAGAGGTCTTACGCTGCAGTTTTCAGGCGGGACGATGAGCTGCGTGATCTCTCCTCCGTGGACACAGAAAATGTGCTTCATCTCTCCGGTGAAAATGTCCCAGACGATGACAGAGAAGTCCACTCCTCCGGACACCAGCGAGCGCTGGTCGTAGCGGGGAGAGATCTGGTACGGATACAGGACGCACGTCACCTTGTTCCGGTGACCTCGCAAGGTACGATGGGGAGGCCAGCCTGCAGGACAGACGGACACGACATTCAGAATGGAATAATGTGGATTGAGTTGGGGTGGTGCGTAATTGTTATTAAAATAATAAAAAGTTGATGACAAAGTGTATGAATTTATGTAAGATGACTTGGTAACACATATGCACATTACCACTGCGTGCAGGAGTAAAAAAGGAGAAAAAACAGAGTTGGTGTGCTACCATTTTCATTTTTAGTACCTCAATATCATGAAAGTCTAAGAACTGAAACATTCAGTAAAAGTCAAATGTAATAGTGAGCTCTCCATGACACCAGAGACACTATATCCAGTTCACGTTCCACAGACGATCTGATAAAATGGACCAGAACTAAAAGGAACTAATCATTTCATTTCTTTCCTAAAGCTAGCTCAGTGCTGATTTTTAGTGTTACTCGTTTTGTAATTGTAGTAATGTAGAAATCAGATGGTCAGTGTTTTCCCCACTTCTATTTTCTCAACCTTGAACATTGGTCCCCTCACTGTGTCCCTCCCTCACCTCTCCTGAGCATGTGCTCCCCCTGCAGCAGCTGGACGATGGCGGTCTGAGTGGCAGGAACCAGGATGATGCTGCCGTCTTCTCTACCACACACCAGACGACCCTGAGAGGGGATGTACACGCTGGCTGTCACCTGAGGGAACACAGACACAGAGTCAGCAACCTAACAACTAGAACAGCAGCCGTCCAATTAGATAAACTTTAGTAGGTTGCAATAAGAAGGAAACCATATTACAATGTAAATCTGTCTCCAGAAGTACAATTTCAACCCTAAACTAACCAAAACTGGAGTCCACTGTATACATGGGAACACTTTTACAAACTTGAAATCATTTTGAAAGCAACATTTCATTTTAGTCAAACACAGTGATACACTGTCAGGGTTCAAACCTTAATGGGTTCTTCTTTTCCAGGCAGGACACTGAGCTGGTCGATGATCCCTGCAGACACGGGGGTCAACTTATCAAACGCCTCCTGGAGACTGATGGTGGACGACACCTGCAGCTCTGCACAGAGACAGACAGACAGACACAGACATACAGTCAACACCAGAGGGAAGCAAGTTTTTAGTTTAGAGGCCAGCCTAACTAAACACTTAAATAAAAGACTGATGAAATAAAATTTTAAACTTGATGCAGAGAAACGATTTCACACAGCAAATCCCATGTGTGACTATTACTGAGGCCAACATCCCAATAATGTGACATACAGAAGATCGGGGTGGCTTATCACCTCAACTAAATGATTTCTTATTTCTTAAAAACACAGTTTTACATATTATCATCACATATTGCACATTGGGAGCCTCTGAAATTGAAATATTTCAGGTAATCAGTTGTTTTTATTAATTTATTATTTGTTAATACATTTAAATACAACATTGAATGAAGTTGTGTTTATTGACACAGGAGGAAGGATCTTAAATTGATATTCCCCCCTTCCCTGAGCACAAATAATATATATCAACAATATTGACATCATCAGTTAACAGCACCATGACACATTTTGGCCACTAGATGTCCCTCTGCCTCCATGTTTCACCACAACCACTGTCTTCGGGAATTTACTTCAGAACACTCTGCACACTAAAAAGTCAGTGTAAAAAAGATTTGTGGAATATGAAATCTGTGTTTTTTTTATAAAAATGATAAAAGTAATTAAATAAAAAGTAAAACAAAGAAAAATTAGATTTGTGGTCTATTAACTATTTGAATCATATGGACTTTTTATGTTTAATTGATATAAGTATATGGTGTGTATAATTACCAATGTTTTTTTGCTTTTTGATATTTTATAGACAGATATATATATATTAAATATACCCTTTGTTACCAATATGTATTCATAATTACTAAGTGAGGTTACTGAAGGCAAGAAGTTTGTTGTTATTAGTGACTCTTGTATAAATAAGAAACTATTTGTAAAACTAGCTTCTAACTCATTTGTGAGGGAAAGGAAAGATCACTGTGATGTCACTGTACGAATGGTTTATTTGCAAATGAATGACAATGCAGAAATGACAGTAATAAAAATGTTTTGCCGAAATGTATAGCAAATGCCTCTGATTCTGCCTGACATGCAGTCTTTATCAGAATCTGTTTTGGGAAGGAAAACATGGAATCAGAACGTAAATCTCCCACATCTGGACTGTGGGTTAATATAGTTTATCAAGACCAAGAGTGGTGACCTTTCTCTGGAGAACTGATTGTGTCATGTCACACCTTCCTTACCTGCGGTGGTCAACGCCGGCTGCAGAGGCGAGGAGTCTGGGATGCTCCACAGAGACAGTCTGCCCGCTGAGTCACCCTGGATCAGCAGCTTATGGAAGGGCTCCCGTCGGCCAAAGAAGAACCGAGTCACAGGAGGACAGATCAGGAGCTGTGGGACGGCGGGGGGATTAAACAAAAGACATGTCAAAATCTGAAAACCTAAATTTTAGCCCAAAGTTCATCAGAGCACTCACATTCTTCTTAACAGTTTGAGTATTTTTCTGTGTGAGGGCCACGTGAAGCTGAAATGTTTGGTTTTGTTCTCTGGTTGCCTTCATACAAACAGCAACAGCAAACTGCCTGAAAACAGAACCACACATCTCCGAATCACCAGGACTCCTCTGCAGGCTGAGACACACGTAAAAACCGTCTGATAGTGAAATACCGACTGACTCTAACATGCTGTTTAGGTTTTACTGGGGCTTTCATTCAGGTAACATGAAGTGTAGCAGCAGTGAAATAAAACCAAACGTAGCCGCTGAACTAGTCCGATGATCACACTCAGCCATCACAATGTGTGCTAACGCAGCACAGAGGAAGAACTGGCAGGGTCAAAACTACAGGTACAGAGAGGATGAAGGTCATGTGACTGACGTGGCCTGTCATCTCAAACAAACTAATACCTTAACATAACTATGGCATTTTCAACCTTTGAAGCCTCAGCAGTTTTTGTTTAGCTGGGCATGCCACATAGTAATAGAAACGCCATTAATGGGTATGTGGGACTATACATGTTTTAGATCACAAGAGTCTACTCTGTGAGTGTGTGCTTAGGTACAGCAGTGCTTTGAGCTAAATGCTAGCATGCTGAGGATTAGCAGGTATAATGTTTACCATTAGTTTAGTCTGTTGGCATCCTAACATTAAATACAGCTGAGGCTGACAGGGTTGTCATTAGTTTTGCCGGTATTTGCTGATAAACCCAAGTACTGGACAAAACAGGTTTAACCTGATGGTGGTGCTGGGGAAAAGTTCTTATAATACATGCTGAATGTCTGTGTCTAATTTCATGCTAATCCATCCAGTTGTTGTTGAGACATTTTAAAATGTCAACCTGATGGTGGCGCTAAAGGAAAAGTCAGGGGATCACCACAGTCACTACTGGGAGATAAGAGTGCCTGAACAGAATTTCCTAAGAACTAATTTTCTAAGAACAGTTTGAGATATTTCAGTCTGTGGTCCAAAGCGGTTGAACAAGGCTGCATTACCTCTGAAACAGAACCCAGAAGTTCCCGTTTCTCTTAGCCTCTCTATAATAACCATGTTGATGGGCCTTAGTTCTGCTAAAAAATACGTTTGTTGTAGATTTCGATTTCGATTTTATAATCGATAATATAATATCTGGTGTCTTATGAAAACTGCCATCACTGAAAACAATAAATTGCTTTTACTGTTCCAGTAATGTGATCCCTGTTAAATCTGGTTTGAGTTAAGTTATGACTTATCTCACCCAAATCAGAGCCTAAACATGACCAGTTTTCTTAACCATTTATAGCCTCAATGAGTCACATGACCATCTTCATATCTGTCCTTCCGATGGCATGAGGAGGAGTGGATCAGGGGTCTTTTACAGTGGCTACCACAGTCCATTAACAGGTGAGTTTGCCTTTGCTCGGTTCAGCAGCACTGTGCGGTGGAACGTCTGTCCACTGAAGGAAATCATGGACAAAATCAAGAGCCATAGACATGGACAGTTGTGTCAAATCTATCACTCTGGATACATGAGAGCCTGACGGGTTTAAACATGAGGTAGCCAGGGCTCTGAAAGTAGGACCAAGTGAAATGAGGTCATTTTTGTTAAGAATCACAAAACCTGGGCTGAGTTTTGTTTCTCGTTGCTAGCCATGAAAAAACGTGAGGATGACTTTGTGTGTCGCTGTAACTCTTTTACAAGCCAGCTAGGCTCACAAGGTTTCCTGCACAGCGAGGGTGTTGGCTTCAGCTGTGTCCTGGTGCCCTTCTGAGGGCAATCAAAAACCTGACGTGCTGAAGATTTTACACCTTTTTGATAAAACTGACCTTTACCTAAAAATAACAACAGTTGCAGTCAACATTTCTTCATTTTTGTTCACATTTTAAACTGCACCACAATCAGTCCAGAGGTTACTGTGGAATAATGGTGGAGATGGGAGGAGGGCAGCATAACGTTTTTTGTCTACAAAAAGGTACAATCCACCCTAAAACAGAACTAAGTTGTGTTGTTCCCAAACTGTACATTTTGCACAGTGGTTACTAGAATTTCCAACAGTGGTTCCTCAAAAGAAGGGAAGGCTGAGGTGTCTTTGCTTTATAGATCATAAGTAAAAAGCATTAAAAAACACACCGGAAGACAAATAGACTGCAGGAACTAAACAAACCCTGCTACTGTTCCCAGAACCTAATTTGGGCATTGCTCAAATTGTTTGTTTTAAAAAATACTACAACTTTAAAACAGTTTATACCTGCTCTAAACGGCCACATAGAGGGAGCTGGAGTAGGCAGCTAAAAATCCACCTGAAAGACTGGATGCTGCTTTGGGCCACCCACTAGCTTGTGCCAGCCTGAGCAGTGCCCTAGATTCTCCTTCATCAGCTCATGTTCACATAACGTGACAGAAAATCAATAATAATATCAGTGCCACTTCCTAAATTGTTGTCTACTCTACAATCGCCCAGGTTTCAGGTTGTTAATTCCTGCAGTGAAAAAGGCCTACAAGTGTGTTTGACCAAAAGTGGCCACTTAGCTGAGACATGTTCAACACTTAATGCCAATCAGTCAACATGGCAGTTCTGCTTCAGGGTAGATTTTCTTCTCCATATTTTTGCTGATATCAAACAGCAGTGGGAGCTCAGCAGAGGCAATCAGTTAGTTCGAGGTATCATGCTGTGGCAGGGACTGATAATCTGAAGTCACGCCCTGAAAGCTCCATGGCTTCACACCTGACCAGGTTATGACACTTAGGAACTGTGACTATGGTAAAGTATGGACAACAAATTCCCTGATCTGGAGCCTTACTGTAGAAAAAATTATTGCTTAACAAATCTAGCCTGTAAACTTGGATAATGCTAATGTTCAGAACATATAAAAGATAAGATCCAATTCCCTAAATATTCAGTGAAGGTTCTTTAACGGAATCTTTGACAAGGGGGTCATCATAATGTCATTTCCAGGAGCTGCTGGCAGGTAGGGGGTTGTGATGATCCATCGCAGTGATAATGATGGACAGGATGAAAGCTAGTGAACCTGTGAGTGTGTAAGAAGGATGGGCTGCCACCACAGCAACTACAGCATTTAAAGAGTTACAGAAGCAGGGAATGGCTGAGGTGTCCGGTGCGTGCCACAATCGGTTAGTTTAGCTCATCTGAACGCTGTGGGCGATCAGAGAGGGTATGCAAAGTGCCACCAGATGTTTGTTTTTTTTTTAAAAACACACACACAAACACACACACACACACACACACAAACTAAATCACATATAGATATAAGATGTAAATAAATAAATCCAACATCAGCGAGTGTTGTTTTTTTTAAGCAAAGCGAGAAAGACAGAATATCAACCTGCAGTGACTGGCAAGAACCTTTTGTGTTTGTTTCAACTGTGCTGCAGATGGGTGGGGTTTCAACCCATTCATTTAGATTATTTAGCCTACATTCTAAACTTAAAATGGGTGTAAAACTACAAGGAAAATGTCCACCATGTACATTTCTAAAGAATTTCAGTTTTTTATTCACTAAGAAACTCCAGTCACTTCTACTTTGCCATTTTTTATCAGTGTAAAACTACCATCAATGCATGCAGATGTTTCAAATTAAAAGCCTACCAGGAGTGGGACGGATTGTCTTTTCAGCCCCTGGAAGGCTTTTAATGTGAAACATCGGTGCACAAAGTCCTGACGGCATCTTAGTGGCAATTAAAAAATACAAAGTAGAACCAACTGGAAACTATTTTTGGAAAAGAAAAGAAATTTAGAGAAGCAGACTGGTGAGTCTGAAATTACTGGTGTACTGATGGAATTGGTCTGTGGAAATTATCCTAAATTTATCAAGATAACAAATAAACATATTTACTAAATTATGATCAAATATGATGGCACATCTCTATTATTTGATTAAGATGAATAAACTTTAAATAAAGTTTGTGGGAGTACAGGAAAACCTCACCTACCTAGTATTCACAGAGGGATGAAAAACACAAAAAACCTTTTGCCATCAGTTGTTGAATGAGGTCTGATGACCACAGGCAGAAACACCCTTTCCTCTTGTCCTATCTGTATCTGATAATATATTTAAACACAAATATCAAAATCTATAAAAGTTGCATCCTTGATTCTGAGCTTTTATTAATTAAATATGCATAATCAGAATTCCACAGTTTGTTTCTGTTCTTTTCTTGAATCTTGTCATGGCACGAACATTTCTACATTTCAACTCTTTTATGTCCCTAATATGTCCAGGATGCATCATCAGTGCTTATCCTTTGTGTTTTAGTTTACACACAAACGTATAAACTTTGAAGTCTAAAGTGCCTGGTGAAGATAAGCAACCAAATTCAATCCAAGTGGTATTATTTCTATCACTTCCTGTTGTGTATCTTTGGTTTGTGATAAACTCAGGGGTTGAGCAGGTCATTATTTAGTTAAAAAGCAGCTTGGGGACTTTGCATGCATCTTCATCAGTATGAAGATAGATGAGGAGGTTGATGGTGCTTTTGGAAGAGGAGTTTTATTTTAGTGGGAAGAGAGCATGAAATCAGGTGAACCAGAATGAGTTCAGTCTCTAGGTCAGGCAGGAGGGAAACCAAAGAGAGGAGCAAACAAAACAGACAGTTCACTCTCAATGCCATCAACTCAGTGGCTAACGGTTCTATTCCAACACTTTGAAAATAAGTCTGAAGGCTACAGTGCAAAAATGTTTCCAATAATTACGGTGTTCCCCAAGGGTCAATTCTTGGCCCACTGTTGTTTTCAATATGCTTCCTATTCATGCATGCTCAGTCAACTTATATAGTAACAATATGTTCTCTTTATATCAGGGATATAGAGCAAGTACTCTACCTCACCTGAAATAAAGAGCACCTCTGCTAACTTTAGACATTATCATCTCATGAAATATACCATTAGGTTCTTATCAAGATTCAGAGAAAATTAGCAGTGTTACGCAGCACAAACTACGTATTTGATGAGTATGGTTGTTTGAGCTATCGTCAAGTAACTACACAGATAACAAGATCAGGATCTGTCTGATTCAGCTCAACAAGTGATTGATTATTGGATCACAATGTTCGCAGCACTTAATCAGAGCAGCATTTTGCAATACAGGAAATTTTAATTAATTGGACACACATTTGAGACAATAGAGTTATATACATCAGCTTGAAGTAAGTTTAAAGTTCCTACTGAGCAGCTAACGATAACCAATATCATTAATGCCATTATTTTTGTCATTTGTGTTATAGATTTTGTTGGATCTGACGTGAAATCTGGCAACTTCTGACTAATCTTATTTATTTGTTCAACTTTTATTTCTTTTGGATCTCTCATGATTTTTTTGTTTCCCATGGAAACAATGAAGAATCTTTTACAAAGTAAAAAAGATGGGGGGACACCTTTAAAAAGGGCATTACTTGATTACTTGTTTTATTAATATTAATAGAATCGAATTCATCAATGCACTTCTTGCTACTTAGTTCTTATTAAATAATAAATGCCATTGTATAGCAATTAATTGCAGGATTGATTTAAACACAAGAATTTAACGTGTTTTCAAATATAAGCCCTGCAGACATTAGTTAATCAATCTGGATTTGAATATTGTTAATTGTGCAAACGAGCTGCTCTTTCATTCAGAATTCAACCATTCATTTTATTTCTGAAATGCACCTAGTTAGTTTGGAGGTTTAGAGAGGATAAAAATATATGAGACATGAGACTGACCTCCGCTCCCTGTTTACTACCACAGTGGAGGGTGAATGTGAGCCACTGAGGGGATGTCTCTCTTTTCACTGCTGTTCTCACAGTTTGCTCATCTCATTTCAGGTCATTACTTTCTGGCTGAGCTGCAACGTTACAAACCTTTCTTGAAACAAAAAACTTCCAGCCTCATCATCTCAAAAGTATTTTTAAACTCACACTGATCCCAACTCTTACACCCAACTACAACAACCCAGCACCAACCTCACTTAAAAAAGGACCACACCACTGTTTATTCACATAATTGAACATTGCTATTGGTTTGAGTTCATTTCTGTAAAAATCTTGAGCTTGAATCTTGCTGCAGATAGAAAATAATTATCACAGTCAACATTTTTATTTTTGAATAAAATGATAAGATGATTGAAATTATTAAAAGTGATTAGATGATTAATCAATCACGTGACTGGCAGAACTCTTATCACCATCAATTCTGCTAATTAACTAATCATTAAGTCATTAAAGTTTCTCTGGTTCCAGCTTCTCCTATGAGAGGATTTGCTGCTTGTATTGGTTTCATCATTAACTAAATATCTTTATTTTAGACTGTTGGTCGAACAAAACTAGACATTTAAAGACATTGGGCATTAGAAAGGTTAGAGGGCATTTTTCACATTGTCTGACATTTTACAGATAAAACAATAAAATTTATATTCATTGAAAAACTTATTTACAGGCCCTAATTATTTGAAAAGGTTATTATCATACAGTAATAATTTGCAGGGGCAAATTCTGAAGAGAAAGAAGGTGAATTCAAGGATGCTCAGACTTCTGAGACTTGAGAATTGGTTGCTGAACAGCAACCTTTTATAATACAAGAAACAACCAACCAAACGTTACAACGTCTATGTTTGCTTATGGTTTGTCTTCTAGGCTTCATTTTCAAGTACCAGTACCGGACATAATCAAATACTGGATGTTCAGCAGTAATATCAAGGCAATTTGTAGCCAATGAGCTAAAGGATACTAAACCACTGGTATGGTCCTTTAAAAGTATGCTTTACTGTCATCTGATGGTGCAGAGAATCTTTAACCATTTTGCACACCAACATTTTTGTAGATTTTATTAGAATGTGCAAAATGGCACGGATTTTTAAAGATTTTATCCTTCCTAAAATGGTACTGGTGTAAACACTGTAAGTACGTCAATTTTAGCTTTTGCAGCTCAGCCAAGAAGGTGAACCTTCTTCTTCCTGCCTTTGGTTTTCAGTGTGCATTTTCTGGGGCTTACTGGCGCCTCTATAGGCCGGTGGCGGTATAGCAGCTCTGCGGTGTAGAGCTCCAAGTCGCACCCACTGGCAGGGAGGCACATCACCTCCATAACCATCTCCTCCTCCTCACCTCCTTCCTTCTCAGAGGAGTGAGGAGGTCAAAGGAGGGAGAGGGCATGGCAGCATCAGAGGACAGAACAACAAAAAGGAACAACAAAAATAGCAACAAAGGCACAGACAACAAATAAATACCTACAAGACAGTAAATTATAAATACACATAGAACAACAACATACTGAAGGTCCAAAATGAAATTATAACTAAACAGAACAAACAAAACACCAAGGGTCAGGCTCACACACATGGATTAAGGCAGACAAATCTGACTATTTTAGACCAAAAGGTACGGATTATTTGCTTAGTAACAAGTAGTAGTACAAATGTTAAGTTTGTAGATTTAAATCTTATGATTAAAATCTCAAACAAAAGCTTTTGTTCAAATAATGGCAGTCTCAAATATTTGCCAACACATTCAAATAAAGCCTGCTCACTAATTTATTACCAGTTCTTTAATGGCCCACACGGTAAATTTAGTATAATGTACATTTCCACATCGATCATTCCAACAATGACTCTGATTGCACTCAGAGTCATACCATACTCAGCATTTTCTTTGATATAATTAGTAAATGAAAACAGAATTAGTGTTACTAAAGCATCTACATTGCAGTTTTTTCGATGGCCTTTAAGTTACCATCAGTGAAACTGAACATTTCCTACAGATGTTTCAAATGAAAAGCCTGCTGGGAATGGAAGGGATCATGCCCTTTGAGCTGCTGGCAGGCTTTGAATGTAAAACATCTGTGCTGAGTTGTTCTGATGGAAGTTTAACAATGACAGATAAGCCAACAAAGTGTAACTCACTGCAATAAATCAGTGATTGAGAACAGAATCTGGGTTAAAAAGATAAACTCAGAGCAGCAGAGTGATGAGTATGATATGACTCTGTTGTTGTACTGATGGAATTAGTGCTGTGGAGGAAGAGTTGAGTTGCATTAACAGCAAACGTATCAAATTTGTGGTCCATGTCTACATTTTTGCAAAGTTTTCTGAGCAAATTATGACCAAACCACACTGATTCATCAATTTGTTCTACAAATTATTGTTAATTTACTGTCTGTTTCTAGATCTTATCCTCTGATTTTTACATCAGGGCTGTTCTGAATTACTCCTTTTTTCCACCATGCTGTGCCTCCAGCTCAGTTATATCTTAACTTATGTTACTGGAGCTGTACTTTAACTGTGAATGTTTTACACTCTACACCATCTATAGAAAGTATGAGAATAAAGTTCTTCTGAGAGGATAGAAATTACAGACACACTTGAATTTACTACTCTTTCCTTCACACCTTTACAACAATGACTACGTATAATCCATGTGCCTGACCTGAGCCCTGATGATCCTAATTCAACTCAAACACCATCAATACAAACAAAACAGTTAGACTGCCGACACACTACCACAGGAGCACTACACACAGCTACCTGTACAGATGGAGCCCTTTATGTCCCACATTTACTTTTTACTGCAGTGCAGCAGTTTACAGCTAGCATCATGTTAATTGAATTACATGTTTGAGCTACAGGGTCCTGATCAAGTATTGGTATATGTCTGGAAACAGGTACCTCAAACAGCTCAATCATTAGCAACAGCATTTGTCTATTATTGAAAGGAAAAGAGGGTTTAAACAGACTGAAGTCCAAAATAAGCTGGTAAAACACCACAATATCCTTAATAAGAAATGTATAAAAAAGCTACAACTGTGTGGCATGAAACATTTTGTCTGGTGTGCAACAGGAGCAAAAACACTTTTTCTGATCTGTTCCATGATTTCTAGGTCTGTGAAAAAGACTTAGTTAACAATATTTTTGCTGAATATTGCAAAAATGTGTCCGTTGACTGTATATAATGATTGACGACATGACAGCTCTCCAAATGTGAAACCAAAACACTCCCTTTAGCTATAGTAAATCGTTTGAAAAAATGCACGTCAAATTTTTCCCAAAGATGGTTTCTATCAATTTAGCCAGTTCTTATCACGATGACATATGTTCAAGTGTTTAATATTTTGATTAGTTTGCTCACTCATCATTGAGTCGGCCAGGTATATGGGTGGACACTCTAGCTCCAAATTACGTCATGAGCGCAAGATGGCAGCTGGCGTATCCAGAATATTTTGGCTTCATTTTTGCAAAGAGCGAGGAAGTGAAGACATATTGTCAATCTTCATGTACAGTCTAATGAACCGTCTTTATGTAGCTCCCTTTTTTATAAACAAGAAACATCTGCCATGTGGCATATTTGAGCTTCCAATCTCTCGGCTGAGATTTATTGTGTAATGTGTGTATGTTAAACTGGGCAGAGTGAAGGACAGTGGACTGACCTGTTTGTCTGAGTGTTCTGCAATGCTGTAGATCAGCGGAGGGATTGAGCCTTCTTTGGTTTTCCCAACATCACTGCGAAAATGTTCGCTAGCTGGCAGACAGCTGAGAAACACACACACACACAGAGCAAGTTTAATTTTACTGAATTTGTGTAGCCCATTTTAAAAACGTTGCCAAAACCCGACAGACGCCATTAACGTGTCTACTGAGCGGTGGTGCGAGAGCTGGAGGAGCAGCGGGATTTACCTGGCGGGCAGCTTGTAGATGTAACTGCGGCCGTCTTCGGTCCAGATGATGACTTTGTCTGCGGCGATGAACTCTCCTCCGGTCCAGGCCTGGTCGCTGTCACTGGGCACTGAGCAGAGCAGCGAGTAGTCACCTGCATCAAACACCTGACACACACACACAACAAAGAGATAAGAAAATCCAGATCCATGCAGTATTCTACTTCAGTACTTGGTGTGTGTTATTACTTTGTGGTAACACAGGTTCTTACCCTCCAGTACTTGGAGCAGACAACCAGCAGGCTGCTCTGAGTGAAGGTACAGAAGGAAATACTCTGACAGCCCTGACAGTAGATGGGTTTGGACTCTTCCTCAAACACAGGGTCCAGGTCCTAAAAAACACACACACAAACATATTAGAGCCAAGACAGAAAAGAAAAGAAATACAACGTATAATGATTGATTGATTGAGAATTGAGTTTGTTTTTAACGCCATTAATGGCTTGGCCCCCTCTTACTTGTCTGAGATTTTAA